GAATGACCCCCAGTGGTGCGCACCATTAATGCCGGTGAAAAGATTCACTTCGCGCGTAGATGGTGAATGTGCCAGCTGCCGTGATAACGCTCATGTTGGTATAGCCATGGCAATGGTAAACACCAGAAAGCACAAGATCTGGTGTGGACATCCTCCATGCACTGCATTATAGCACAACGCATGGCAGTGCAGGGCGTTCCAAAATAATCGGTCATGTGACTTTTTCACAATGTTGGGCGATGACTGAACCTTCATTACACCAATAATGGGCGTCTTCCAAGTCTGAGGATGTCAGCTTCATCTGAGGCTTCTCACACGTCCTGCTCTGTGTCAGGTCGCTGCTCCCGGTGAGGAGAGTCCGACCGTCGCCTGTTTTTTTTTTATAGACGATAAAGTATTTTTATAAACGTTTTCCTTCCAGCGCGAGGAGTCCGAGGAAGATGGCGGCGGAACGTTGTGTGATGGAGACGCGGCGAGCGCGCGGTACGGCAACAGATGTTTTCTTTACCTGCTTAAGTCTTCCCGACTCCCCCCCCCAAAATCTGAGTCAGGTTCTGGGGTGACCCGAGTCCTGGATTCGTCATGTCAGGTTCTGGGGTGACCCGAGTTCCGGATTCGCCATGTCAGGTTCTGGGGTGACCCGAGTCCTGGATTCGTCATGTCAGGTTCTGGGGTGACCCTAGTTCTGGATTCGTTATGTCAGGTTCTGGGGTGACCCGAGTCCTGGATTCGTCATGTCAGGTTCTGGGGTGACCCGAGTCCTGGATTAATTATGTCAGGGTGTGGGGTGACCCGAGTCCTGGATTCGTTATGTCAGGTTCTGGGGTGACCCGAGTTCTGGATTCGTCATGTCAGGTTCTGGGGTGACCCGAGTCCTGGATTCGTCATGTCAGGTTCTGGGGTGACCCGAGTCCTGGATTAATTATGTCAGGGTGTGGGGTGACCCGAGTCCTGGATTCGTTATGTCAGGTTCTGGGGTGACCCGAGTTCTGGATTCGTTATGTCAGGTTCTGGGGTGACCCGAGTTCCGGATTCGTTGTGCCAGGTTCTGGGGTGACCCGAGTTCTGGATTTTTTTTATGTCAGGTTCTGGGGTGACCCGAGTCCTGGATTCGTCATGTCAGGTTCTGGGGTGACCCGAGTCCTGGATTCGTCATGTCAGGTTCTGGGGTGACTCGAGTCCTGGACTCGTCATGTCAGGTTCTGGGGTGACCCGAGTTCTGGATTCGTCATGTCAGGTTCTGGGGATCGGGATATAAAATTGTATTTTACTTCAATCATTGTAATAACAATAAATTAAAGGTGAACTCCGGGATAAACATCCTCATACCCGAGTCATGCGTGTTCTTCCAGATCTGTGCAGTCATCCCGTGTGTCTCCGCCCCCTCCTGTAATAAAGACCGGTCACTGCTGCTCTCTCTCCTTGTGCTGGGTGACTGGTCTTGTCTCCGCCCCCTCCTGTAATAAAGACCAGTCACTGCTCCTCTCTCTCCTTGTGCAGGGTGACTGGTCTTGTCTCCGCCCCCTCCTGTAATAAAGACCACCCACTGCTTCTCTCTCTCCCTGTGCAGGGTGACTGGTCTTGTCTCCACCTCCTCCTGTAGTAGGTGGAGCCTGCTGGGTCCCTCCCACAGATCTGCTCTCTGCACAGTGTATGTCCAGCACTCTTTAGAGATGACAATCCAACTGTTTATAGATATTCAGCACACCGAGTCATTGTGTAGTCAGTTCCTTCGAATGGAAGTCGGTCGGAACTGACTTTACACTCGATCACTGAAGTATAAAAGCTTTAACATGTTAATACAATTTCATTAATTGACTTTCAATCTTTTTAAAGCTGCCGGTTTCATTAAAATAATTCCTTCAGGCATCTCTTGTGATAGGGTGACAACTCTGTCCCTGTCTTTCAATGGTGCTCCTGTGTTGTCACCCCCGTCATACACTCCCCAGGGTGGAGACTACAAGCCGCCGCCCTGCTGACACATATCACAATGACATGGTCTACGCTCAGGAAGCTGGTCCAGGGCAGGAGTAGGCAAGCATGGGCCCCCAGTTGTGGGGTACAAACTACAGGACCCCATCATGCCTGCAGTTGTCAGAGTCTTGCAATGCATCATGGGGCTTCCTAGTTACATAATATTTGAGGTTGGCTGGAGACACAGGTCCTTCATGTTCAGCCCTTCCACAGCAGCTGGAGTGCCGAGGTGGCCCACCCCCTGATGTAGAGGATGTGGACGCAGGAGATCAGCAGCACTTAAACGGGTGAAAACGTCGTCTTTCGGGGACATAAAACAAGGCGATTGGATAGGATTCGGTGCAAACATATAACGTCCACCTGGAGTTTATATCTCATAGAGGAGCGCGGAGAGTATTCCGCCGGCCTGCAGGGGGTACAATGTGCTTCTATTACACGGGCGCCCTCTGGTGGCCGATTTGTGTTATTACACCTCTGATATGAATGATGAACTCTCGTCCTGCCTCCGGGTCTCCTGCACAATGTGCGGGTCGGTGGGCGAGCTCGGTACACCACGGTCGGGGCTCATCAGATCCGCACGGCACACGATCCAACCGCCATTAAAGCTGAACTCCAGACCAATGAGTTCCGATACAGATGTGAACCAGGTCTAGGGGTTTTCTTTCTCTGTTGGGCCGGTCTTGTGATTCGGATAGGACAAGTAGAGTCTGCAGATGTAAAATGTGGGCTGACCTCATCGCAGCCTCAGCATGTGATTGGGCAAACCCTGGAATTTCACTTTCCTTATATGTCACCCCCTCCTATGATCCTCAATGCGGGATAAACTTACAAGCCCACCGCATCCTTTTGTTGCCCCTTTTTTTTTTTACCCGAAGCACATCCCGTGCGCCATCTTGAATCTTCCATAATCAGAAGCTGGTTGTTCCTCCTTCGCAGAGCCGGCCTCCTGGTGGTGCTCCCTTCATCCTGAATGGCACGCAGTGTAATACCTCGGCATGGCCTCATGGGACGTGTGGTGTAGATATCTCAGGAGTGGACAGTCACAGGACATCCGCTTTGCAATTGGGAAAGAGGGAGGGGGTGGGGAGCAGATGAAAGGAAGTTGGCTATTGGGTGAAGGTCCACTACACGCTGGTGAGGCCCTTACCTTGCTCTCTCCTCCTGTCAGGAACCTCCTAGTATTAGGCTGACAACACCTGTGCACTGTAAAGCTGCCCATACACCTGACGATGATAGTACGGTAATCGCAAGGTTGATGGGCAGCGTGCGACCGCATCTACTGTACGGTCGTACGATTTTCGGGCGGGTTGGTGTCGTGCTCGGAAGACTAAAGCCACACGACCCGAGGTGTGCGAGCACTGCCCGCTCACCATTGCAATCATCTGCAAGCCCTCCCCTCAGCGCCCAAGATGGACGGGTCGTACGAAATTTTAAGCACCTTACAACCATTGCACACGAAAGTCGTACAATGGTTGTAAGGTGTATGGGCAGCTTTATATAGTGCTGATTG